CTTGAAAATGCGTTTTCGAATGAGTTGGACGTACAATTTTTGTATTATATCTGTGTCAAATTATGGCGTAGATGGTTTTAAAAAAAACCAAATTCCCAAATTCAATCGCATGTTTCCAATAGCTTTTCCTTGAATGGCCTATAAAAAATGGTGGAAAAATCACAATAATCGAAAAAATAAAAAGATTGGCCGAATCTTCTATATATATGCCCAAATACTATAGGAGTAGAGCATATTTAATTTGGGGCAACACACTGGTCGGTACCAAATTAGGGTTGTATAATGGGTTAAGCAAAGACATGTTTGCAAATTTTACCATTTCTTTCATCCGCTCTGGCATTTTTGATTCCAACTGGAGAAGAGATAGTATTTAAAGTTATTCATGTAGAGAAGAACATTTTTTCATTTTATCATTCATCAAGTTCAATAAAGCAAAAACCTCTTTTTTCCCATCAACTAGATAATTTTTCTAGAAAAAAAGAAAAAAAAAGTGTTTGCTTTATTCCGAATCAAGCACCGATTTCATTGAATAATCCACTTTCTTTGATTAGACACAATACAATGAATATTATACATAGCCTACTTTTGGGCGTTTTTTCTGAACAACGTCTTTCCTGTCTAATGCTTCATTGAAAGAGATAGAAGAATTCAAAAATATCAACCGAAGCTATTTATGTTTGAAAATAAAAGATTAAATTAGCTGAAAGAAGGATGTTGACAACAACCTCCCCGAAAAGAATGATGCAATTTGAATTGAAACGGTTTTCATGCCTAATATTTGAGATGAATTCATTATGTGAATGAAACAGGCAAAAACAAACCGGCTCAAAATCATTTCTGTCGAACATCAATATCAAGATCATCTCCTTTGTCATGTCCTATATGGCTTTATCATTTTCATCGGAAGAGAAAATAAAATGAATTATCATCATCAGTTGCTAAATTGAAAAGTCGTGTGTTCCTATATATTATATCACTGGCCAAAGTCCATAGATTCACTGATCGGCTTCAAATCGTAGCAAGTGGTCATAAATCATTTGTCATCATTTGTTTCGTTCAAATTCGAAAGGAAAATATTTGATAAGCCTTTTTAAAAGAAAAACGGCATATTTGTAAGAAGGACGTGACTCACATAAAGTGAATTTTTTTTATCATAGAACTTGCATACGACAAATTATTAGAAATACTTCGAAATCAACTAGTTTGAACCATAGACTATAGCCTAAAATTGATTTCTCTCCCTGTGATTTCCCTTTGTTCCGTATTTTTTTTTAGGTTAATAAGAAAAACAAATTGATTTCAATTTGCTGTCTATTTGCTTCAAGATGTTATTCATATACGCCCTTTCTGTCTCTCGCTTTCATCCAAATGAAAGCAAATCACTTAATAGTCACTTCGTTCTGTATACATTGAACCATGCATTGAAACAGCTGATGTGCTGAATGAGTGAATCTATTTAACAGTGTATCTACAGTGACTCAGAAGCACAGCACACACACACACACTCACCCATTGGCATTTTAACGCATGTGGAAAGTTCCTTTTGCATGTATATACGCTGTATATGAACTATGTAATATATATACTCTCTTCCAAATAAACAACAATAGCGCGACTGCTAGCCGAATTCTAAAAATAATCGTGTATTACTGTACATTTCATCACGAGAGCGTAGTTCAACCACAAGCAGATTTGCAGTAAGTGAGACGCAATAACGCTGCTTGCGAGACGCAATAACGCAGTGTCTGATGTTTGCATTCAACTCAGTCGTACTATGTTTGTGAAACGTAGCAGTTGTTTTCTATTCCGCAATTCGAATATTTTACGTGACAATTTGGTGTCGGCTAATTTCAGTCCAATTCAATCAACAAATTGTTTCATTTCCATTACATCCAAAGTGAGTGGAAAATTTGTGTTTTTGTTTTTCAGTGGAAAAAAAAAGAATGATTTTTTCAAGAGCTCTTCCAAAAGTCATCAGTGTATTTTGGTTGACAGTCTAATTTTGATACATTTGAGGCGTTTCACATTTTGATTGGAATATTCCAACCGAATTTCCGTGCTATCAATTCGGATTCAGTGAAATTTTTATAACCAATTGATTTGTGATTTTCCACACCATGATAATGATTTATTTTGGCAAACCTTCTCGATTTTTCACATTCTTCTTCGCCACTCATTTCAGTCGATCTAATCTTGCAATATACTCAACCGGCTATCTTTGTGACTATCATCTTATCGCACAATGTTATTCTCTTTTTTTTATTGTTGTTGTTTTCCATTTTGTTCTTAGGTAAACATGAGCTCCGAAGCACCCGAAAACCCGCAATCGGTTTACGATTTCAAGGTGAAAGACACATTCGGCAACGACGTGTCATTGGATAAATACAAAGGCAAAGTGCTGCTCGTCGTAAATATTGCATCACAATGTGGTCTCACCAATACCAACTACAAAGAACTCACCGAATTGGCTGAGAAGTATAAAGACCAAGGTATAAATTATTTCGATAAGCATTGAAAATTGATTAGAGTCAAGTTTTTTCTTCGGATTTTCTTCTTTTTTTCATTATTTGTTCATTTTTTTTTCAATTTTGTTCAAACTGAAATTAATTAATTCGATTTGTTTCCAGATGTAAAAATCCTGTCATTCCCATGCAATCAGTTTGCAAATGAAATGCCGGAAAAAGACGGCGAAGAAATGGTATGTCATTTGAAAAAAGCCAACGCCAATGTGGGAGACGTATTCAAGAAGGTCGACGTCAATGGAGCGAAAGCAGCACCACTGTACAAGTTCTTGAAGGACAAACAAGGTGGCTTTTTTGGCGATGGCATCAAATGGAACTTCACCAAATTCTTGGTTGACAAAGACGGCAAACCAGTGGAACGATTCGCACCAACCACATCACCGAAAAATATCGCATCCAAAATTGATGAACTTTTGCAAAAATAATCGCATATATCAAATGATGAAGCAAAGGCTTTGCTGCAAAGCGCTACAATTTCTCTTAGATTTTAAGATCATACAAGTTCTTTCATCTTGTTTAATTGCATTCACATTGTTTGTTTAGTTTAACCAAAGCGAATTCAATAAAATTGAATGACACTTTTGATTTGTTGTGTTAAAATATGGGGTTAATGCATTGACAAAGGCCATGATCTTTGATATGGGGGAAAGATCAAGTTGAAGGTAATGATAATTTCAACTGGAACTGGTCTGATTCTTGTCGAATTGACTAAGGAAAGAAAATCAATCCTCTTTTTCTTCTTCATTATTTGTTTTCACATGATTCTGGTAGAAAAAATTGGTTGGCTGATCATAAAGCAGGCGAATGTAAGTAAAATATTGATAATCCCCTTCAATATATATTATACATTGTGCAATCCACTGAAACAGCTGATGTGATGAATGAGCGAATAAACACAGTGTATGTATTCATTTGACAGTGTATGGCATACACTGTACGCCCAAATCCACACTAACTTATAAGCATGCATACAATCGCAGTCACATTCCAACGCATTGAGAAAGTTCCTTTGAGTATGTATCGCAGCGCGTGAATCATATCAAGAGAACAGCAGCAGCAGAAAAAAAACGAAAACTATAGATATAGTATATACTCTCTTCTAGATGAAAAACAAGCGATCACAGTGGCTGAATATTGCGAATTCTAAATTTTTTGTGCTGCCAAAGACACAGACAATTCACGGGTAAAGGCAACTCTAAGTCAAGTCTGAACTCTATATCAAATGTTAATTCACTCTCGCTATCGATTGACAACTTTTCTTTCATTCTACGCTCCAATACCGAATTGACAGTTCAATTCTGTCTTTCATACATAACAAATCAAAACAGTGTCCGGTGTTTGCATTCAGTCATACTATGTTTCTCAAATGTAGCAGTTGTTTTCTATTGCGCAATTCGAATCTTTTGCGTGAAAATTTGGTGCCGACTAATTTCAGTCCAATTCAATTATCAAATCGATTTATATCCACTACGTCCAAAGTGAGTGAGAAGAAGATTTGTGTATTTTGTTTTTGTTCTCATCGGAAAACAAATGGTTGTTAAAAGTGTATTTCAATTGAGACATTTCGGACGTTGTTTATTTTGGTTGGAACTGTAGTATTCGGAGCTTCAATCGGATTTTCGTGGTATCAATTCAGTTTCTGTTAAATTTCATAACAAATTTACCTAATTTTTTTCAACGATTTGTGATTTTTCACATCTCTAAAATGACCTTTCGACAAACCCACGAAACCTACATATTCTTCATCGCCACTCATTTCAATCGATCTACTACTAGTAATTTTGCAATACGCAGAGCCGGCTATCAGCGCAGCATACAAGCATCTCATCGCACAATGTTATTCAATTTTATTTATTATTGTTGTTTTCCATTTTGTTCTTAGGTAAACATGAGCTCCGAAGCACCCGAAAACCCGCAATCGGTTCACGATTTCAAGGTGAAAGACACATTCGGCAACGACGTGTCATTGGATAAATACAAAGGCAAAGTGCTGCTCATCGTAAACATTGCATCACAATGCGGTCTCGCCAACACCAACTACAAGGAGCTCACCGAATTGTCCGAGAAGTATAAAGATCAAGGTACTTAGTTCAATAGGCTTTGGTCGTGTGTGTGTGTGTATTTCTAGCTTGTTTTCTTTTCAATGAATTATTTCTTGATTTGCTTTCAGATGTAAAAATCCTGTCATTCCCATGCAATCAGTTTGCAAATGAAATGCCGGAGAAAGACGGCGAAGAAATGGTATGTCATTTGCAGAAAGCCAATGCTAAAGTGGGAGACGTTTTTAAGAAGGTCGACGTAAATGGAGAGAAAGCAGCACCGCTGTACAAGTTCTTGAAGGATAAACAAGGCTTCTTGGGCGATGGTATCAAATGGAATTTCACCAAATTCTTGGTTGACAAAGACGGTAAACCAGTCGAAAGATACGCACCAACCACATCACCGAAAAATATCGCATCAAAAATTGATGAACTTTTGCAAAAATAATTGAATAAATATTTCTTTATTTTGACTGCAATGATAGTAATGGAACAAAACGCTACAATTTGACCTAGATTTTAAGACCATACAAGTTCTTTCATCTTGTTTAATTGCATTCACACAGTTTGTTGAGTAAAACCAAAGCCATTAAATTCAATAAAATTGAATGACCGTTTAAATCTATTTGGAATTTTATTTCTAAACAATTTAATGATGAAGAAAATTTTTTACACAGAAAAAGAAAGAGTGTTTCATTGAGTGAAGAAGAAAAAAAAAGGTTCATTTTTGTTCGCTTTGACTTAGCCTTATGTTACAGTTCAACATCGGAAATAAATGAAACAATAGAAATTCTGATCCGGCCAAAGTCAGCAAAATAAAATTCAGCAACTCAACATAAACACGACTAAACAGAATAATTTTTTTTTGATAATTAATACTGAGCACCGGGCTGCTGATTGTAACAGAGGTGCGTGCTTGTGCACAAGATGTTTTTAATGTTCAGATGATGGTGGTCCTGTTGGTTGATAGGTAATGATGTCAGATGGCATATTGCCCCATTCACGTGCAACCATCAATATTGTGCCTTGATGCAATCGTGGACCCATCAATGGATTCATCTGAGCCATGAAACAGCACAACCAGCTGCGGAATAAAAAAACAGATGCATTAGTCAATGGGGGTGAATGTGCGTTGATCAGGGAAAAAAATGCGTCGTCAATTTGATAAGACTTTGACAAACAACACAGAGATGCCCTTGGCAATTAACACAAGAAAATAGACTTACAAAAGCCAACAAGTCGCTGCCGTCAGCATTAAAACGCATTGCACAATACTGAAATCGGGAAATAAAAACCATTGAATTAAAAATTTGATTGAAAATGGCGATTTTTTTACACTTTTTATGTGCATAAAAAATTTTTATCAACGCTACTAACCCACGGTTCGGTCCTTTTGGTGCAAGAATTGGTAATGCAATTCCAACAAAACCCCAAAATGCAGTGATCAAAATGACTGGAATGGCGCCCATTTTCGAGATAATCTATTGATTTCGTCCTAAGACCACAGAAAATTGATGAAAATTTCCAATTTTATAGAATTTTCTCTTTGGACGTGTGCTTTGTTTTCACACTTACTATCGATTAATCACAAGAGCTGAATGTGATGATTGCGAAAAAAATCTCTTGTCAATCACATGATTTGACAGTAGGCGCGTGACATACGTATACCCAATATACAGTGTCTATGGCATCGTTCACACGGTTAATGGTTCGAACGTTGAATATGTACACACTTAAGTGGAATCAAATAGAACATGGAAAAGATGAATAAGAAGTATTTCAAATGCTGAATGAAATATTTTTGGTGTTTATTTTGAATTTTCAATCAATTTCGAATCAAATCAATCATTTTCATTCGAATAAATGTGTGAAAAAATGCAGTGAAAGAAATTGTCTATTGAAATTGCTATGAACGTTTTTGTCAAATGACGACCTTTTGACACCGATTCGGATGAAAATGAGAAAAAGAAATCATTTTTTGCATTTTTTTACGCAATTTTTTCATTGAAAGTAAAATAAAAATTCTGAAATTGAATGAAATATCAAAAGAACTCATTTCTTAATTTGAATTTAATTCCTTTTTCGCCATCCATTGGATCAAATCATCCATTCCAAATTCCAAATGTTTTCAGTGTCAAAAGTCACAGCTGGAATTATGATGGAGCCAACTTCACGTTGAAATGGAAAAAAGGTTGAAGTGCGACAAGCATATCTCTTACATTCACACACGTTTTCACGGGTATTACTCTTCTCTATTCGGACGTACTAGGCTATTGCTGCTTGCTGCTGGCACTATACGAGGTAATTTGTAAATTTGCACAATTTATTGCATTGAATGGCTGAAATTCTGACTGGATTTCTGCCCAATAACCGATTCTAGTTAATTGCACATAAGTTTTCGTGTAAATTTGTCGATTTTTCGGTGTTTGTTGGCAAAAATGGTTTTTCAATCGGCACCCGATTGAATCACATTATATAACACCAAGTACTGTGCTGAAACGTCATGCAATCGATTTACGTTGAAGATCTAACCTTGACTCGGACAACCGTTTTCTTCTCTTGCTTTTTTCTTTATTTAAATCCAATTTAAATTAATTAACACATTGTTTAATCTCATTGACACGCAGACGACACAAGGAAATATATTTCACACACCGGAGAGACAAAAAAAAAACGACTATCAAAATGTTCAGTTCATTGATGGATGCAGCCCGTAATTCGCCATTCAAAGGACCATTGACTGTGGCCAATTGTGATGGTGCCGCTGCACCAGCTGTCGCCGACTCATGCGAATTCGGTTCCAACAAATATTTCCTTTTGTGCGGTCTTGGTGGTATCATCTCATGTGGTAAGTCGGAGGCTTTTAATTTACGTTTTGTTCATCAAGTGCAAAGTTTCATTTGTTATGTAATTGAGTGAAAGAAGAAAAAGTTTCGAATGAAGAGAAAACACTTTTGAAGAAATGTTTCGTTAGAAATACGCTCAAAATAAAGAAGAAAAAACTCTACGGAAGAATATTTTTAAATGCACAAAATCTTCCATTGGAATTTCAACCATATTAAGGTATCATTCTTTTTTGACAGGCTCAACGCACACACTGTTGACTCCATTGGATTTGGTTAAGTGCCGTTTGCAAGTCGACCAAGCTAAATATAAGAATTTGATCACTGGTTTTCGATTGACATTGAAAGAAGATGGAGCACGTGGTTTGGCCAAAGGTTGGGCACCAACTGCCTACGGTTATTCCGCACAGGGTCTCTTCAAATTCGGCTTGTACGAATACTTTAAAGTCCTCTACAGTGATCTTATTGGCGAAGAAAATGCTTTCCTCTACCGTACCAGCTTGTATTTGGCCTCTTCAGCTTCGGCAGAATTCTTTGCTGACATCGCTTTGTCACCAATGGAAGCCGCTAAAGTCAAGGTAAATTGGATTATTTGGAGTTTTTCTTTTGTTAAAAAACTAATTTTGAACTTAAATATGGTTTTGAATGTAAATTTACAACAGAAAATATAAAATTTTCATCGAAATTTTCAAAAATTATGGAATTTTCTGGAATCTCATCATTTTTTTCGTGTTCTTCATTGAAAATAGATTCAAACAATGCCTGGATTTGCTAACAATTTACGTCAAGCTGTTCCAAAAATGATGAAAGAAGAAGGTTTTGGTGCATTCTGTAAGTATCTCAATTTCAAGACCATCAAATTAAAAATGAATCATACGCTGAAGCTCAATGTTTAACGAACGATTTATTCAATGTTATAGACAAAGGATTGGTACCACTCTGGATGCGTCAAATCCCATACACCATGATGAAATTCGCTTGCTTCGAACGTACTGTTGAATTGTTGTATAAGTAAGTTGACGATTTCATTCACTCTTTGAGGTATTTTTAATTGCATTGAGATACACTACCGTGCAAAAGTTTGGAACCACTAGATATTTTTCATACAAATTGACCATTTTTGGTGGACTCATTAACATATTTCGGAAACACCTGCACTCTTGATATCTTGTGCATAGTTTCTACAACGTTTCAATAGTAAATCACAGAGGTTTCATCAAAAAATATTCATGAATTTCAAAAATATAGCAATTTGAATTTGTACTGTGTGAAAAATGATCAAATTTGTATGAAGATTAAAACAGATCAAATTCAAATTAATATATTTTTTAAATACGTGACAATTTTTTGATGAAACCTCTGTGATTTACTATTGAAACGTTGTAGAAACTATGCACAAAATATCAAGAGTGCAGGTGTTTCCGAAATATGTTAATGGGTCCACCAAAAATGGTCAATTTGTATGAAAAATACCTAGTGGTTCCAAACTTTTGCACGGTAGTGTAGATGATAGAAAGGTTTATTTGAGATCCCCTTGGATGGATTTAAACGATGAAATAAAGCATATTCATTCATCGCTATGAGTCATTTCGATCACACAATCGCTATAAAACCACCCTTTAAGTACTATTTTGGAGCAAATCAATGCAAATTTGAATCAAAACTCTACAGACAAAGGGACTTTTTAGCCTTCGGGTCAACAATTTTCGAGACTCACGAACTTCTTTACGTGAATTTTCCCTATTTTTCTATAAATTGCCTCTATTTTTGCCATTAAATTGTTCTACTTTTCTATCACTTTTCTCCAGTTTTCATCAATTTTGTAAATTTAAAGAAGTTTTCGTCGAAGAAGTGTCTTTCATTTTCTTTCATTAAATCATTTTAAATGAAAATAACCCTCTGCTCATCGAATTCCTCCTCTTTTAATCAATTTTCTCTTACTAATCGCAATTTTCTCCGCCTTTATCTTCCAGAAACGTCGTACCAAAACCACGTGCCGAATGTACTAAGGGCGAACAATTGGTTGTCACATTCGCTGCTGGTTACATTGCTGGTGTGTTCTGTGCCATTGTATCGCATCCAGCTGATGTTGTTGTATCAAAATTGAACCAAGCCAAGGGTTCATCTGCCTTCCAAGTGGCCAAGAGCCTTGGTTTCTTCGGAATGTGGAACGGTTTGGTGCCACGTATCATTATGATCGGTACATTGACCGGTTTGCAATGGTTCATCTATGATGGTGTTAAAGTTGGTTTGGCCATTCCACGTCCACCACCACCAGAGATGCCAGAATCACTTAAAGCCAAATTGGCCGCACAATAAATAAATTCACCATGCAAGCAGTGCAACAGTGCAAACTGAGAGCAATACAATCGCTCAACGTGTGTCTAAGTTTAAATGAAAAAAAAAATTCATTCAAATTAGAAAAAAAAAAATGAAATAAACAAAAAATCAATTGTATTAACTGTAAAACTAACAAAAAACTACATCGCTGGTATTCGATAGGCGGATCACACCAAAACACAAATTGTGCGCAATCATTTGGCTATTTATTTGAAATTAGAACAATTATACCGGAAAATAAAATTTTATTGGCATACCAGGGCCATGTTTTGTTGTCTAACCAATTCTTTTCATTTTGTGTTCTTTTTTTTCGAAACTTGTATCAGGAATGAACATTCTATATATAAGCTAAACATGTGTATGAAATATAAGTTGATTGAATGAGTTTCTAGGAACGAAACATACCAAAAATTTAAGCATTTTTTTCTCATTGGGACATACAGCTTAATAGCAACATTGGTACAGTATTTGAACTCCGAACAGGATGAGACGCATTTATTTTGGATTTCTTCCATTTTTTTCTTTCAACAGATGATATCTATTTTATTGTTATCGAAACAAAGTGAATTGAATAAATTCATTAGATAAAGTCGTACCGAAACGAATGTTTTATTTTTCTGTTATATTGGGATTGGACGGGATATTGACGTCGGACAATAATATATATAAAACAGTATTAACCCTGCATGGTTCCCTATGCTCATATGCTCGCACAGTGTGCGTCACATACAAAAACAGCAAAATCCATGGCGAATACTGTGTGGCGCATAATAGCAATAACTATACAATTTTCAACTCATTGCTTCAAAGTGTGGAATGATTCGGGTGTTCGTTAAGATAGGTTAAAAATTAATTTTTTACGCTAAAATTCATTTATTTCTATAACACAACAATTTTACATTCTAGTAATGTCTTTGAAAAGAGTACTTGTTAGACTTGCTGTTATGGTGCCCAAAAATAGAACACTTACCTATATCTACCCAAGTCTAACAAGTACTCTTTTCAAAGACATTACTCTCATACATGAAACAGTGTACTCTCTTTTTAAATTAGACTTGGGTACCACCGAATTAAACTAGCAGCCTCGGTTAGTTATATTGATGATGATGTAAGAATTTCACTCGTTGATACTGAAAAAAAAGTATGAGTATGTTAGTCTTACCATGTTTAGAAAAAGTCTTACTCTCGAAGAAACTCACCCCATCTTTTCGTTTGGCGGGAAGAAAATGCGAAACGAAAAATAATAAATCAATTCAATGAAGCTCAAGAGAGATGCACCCAAAAATAGTCCAAATAATCCACCGGAGCTTGCCAGAAATGATGACAGACTATAAAATTCGGTGCGCTTCATGGGAATAAACATTTCCTCTTTGAAGAATATTACCAAACGACTGAATGTTGAACTACAAAGATCAATTTATACATATCAAGTGAGTAAAGAGTTGAGCTTGATAAATGTTTGAAGTTACACTTGAAAATGAATTTTGTGAAATAAACAAAAATCTATGCTTACTTATCAAAACTGAATTTTGTTTGATATTTCGATTTGGACCAAGCACTGGATAAATCGTAATCTCCTTGTGTAGCGACCGCATCGTACGAAATTGTGGAACAACTTGGCAAACACTTGCATTTATCAAATGCACCACTGGTAAATACTTCCTGACTAGCATCGCTACAACAAGAAATCTTTCCAGGGCCACAGATTTTCGTCTCGTTCGATCCTAAAAAGGAATTATTCTTGAGAAAAACTATCGGAAACTCGACGATAATTAAAAAAAAAAAATACAATTGAAAAAATTCATTGAAGAAATGTGGAAAATTTTGATTCTTTTTTCCAAAAAAAAAAATGACATGAAAAGAAATCATTATGAAACTGTGCTACCATTAGCCGATTTCCATACTTGACATTGAAAATTCTATGCATCCACATTGGGCCAGAGTAAAATTAGCCAAGCATTCCACTTCACAATTGCGTTGTGCTGTAATAGAGTAATTGACGTTCAAAATCATTGCCTTACAGCGGAACTAATACATACTGTAATGTCTGTAGAATCGAAGCAGACGTTCGGACTTATAATAGCACTGCCGAATATCAGGGCTGTACCTGAGTACAGCTTGTGATGTTTCTATTACATTTGGATTAATTGTAAATATTGCTGATTTTCCCGGTGAAATGTGAAAGAATTTCTCCCAAATTTGTGGCCCTTCTTGGGGTGGATGAAAAGTCACCTTGAAACCATTTATCCCACCGGCACACAGTGGATCAATGTTCTCCTTTAAAACTTTCAGTATAACTGAAATGCCTGACTGAACACTTGTGCCATACACACGGTTGGGATACGATTCAGCCCCATTTGAATCATTATAACCGGCATACATATCCCAGTTCGATGAAGATGAACTGTTCGGACCAATTCTTAAAAAATCCGAAGACAACCTAGAAAGTATATTAAAAAATATTGAGTCCATAACTTATATTCGATGGAATTTGTATATAAACTGAAAATATTTCCCTTATCTCCGTTCAAAAACAAAATGACATACTTATCAGTTGTAATTTCTTTCACACTCATCGCATTGAATGTGTAGCACAGTCCCTCTTCGGTGACAATTGGAAAAAAAAGTTTTTCACATTTGGTTTCGCCAAGAAATTTACAATCAAACATTGTGTCATCGAATGAAGGTGCTAAATCACGAATTATTTCTAACATTCGGTGATCGGAGTAAATGTCAGTGAAGTTTTCAAGAACATCGCCAGCAAAAGTGTTGTCACAAATTTGACTTGCGATTTTCATAAGATTTAACCTAAAAAAAATACGTTATTTACGATATTCAACGTAAATCCAATAGAAAATAAGTCAATGCACTCATATTCAATTAAAAATGAATGAATCAACCCATTCTCCACTGAACGTTGAACGTTTTGACTAGGGGGAAATAACTGAGTAAATAAGAATGTAAATACTGTAAATATGCGCAAATATTCACTTGCAATCGGAAATAATGTCAATATCGGCCAATATCGTCAATACCTGACAATATCTGTTAATAACATCTGCATTTTACAATATACTTGGTAATACCAATTTTTTATTCATTCGTATTTAGTCGGTATTGTCAAATGTAGATGTTATTTACCATTATTGACACATATTGACCTTATTTCCGCATATACATAAGTGAATATTTGCACTCATTTACAATTTTTTTAGAAATGCATATTTGACTTTCATTTCATTATTGACATGAACTTTCATATCATTTTGCAATTCGAATATATTGTCAATAGGAGTAAATATTTTGAATATTCTGCAAATGAACGCCAATATATGTAAATATAGTCAATGAAGATCAATAAGAGTAAATATTTGAAATTTTTATCAAATAAAATCAATACAAAAAAGTTCTTTCCCCCTAGCGTTTTGATAGGATAATTTTTGAAAAATTGTCCAATCGAATAAATTGTAGTAAAAAAGGGAGTTAATGAAAATTTACTCTTCTTCAGTGATTGGCTGTGTGTGGTTGTCATCAAGCTCAAATATGGATCGATAAGCTTGTGTAAAATTGAATAATTTCGTAGAAAATTTCGTCAATGGACAAATAGTTACAGCGGGAAATGGAATTTCACCCACTAAAACCAAAAATTAATTTAAGTCTAATAATTTACATTGATCATTCATATATATGACATCATTTGTTACCTGACATTGGTTTGTTGCTCATGCTTACAATCACAGGATTCTCACACCATTTGCACCAGATACTGTAAATCGAGACTATGCACAACGATACGCTTGCGATTAATGCGGCAAACCACCAAGTGCTACAATGGAAAACACATTTGAGAAGAATGGTCTAATGATTTCATTTGAATAGTGGGTTCAATGAACACTGTTCAAGTTCATTCTAAATCAACAATGTTGATTTAACATTAACTTGAATCAAATCTCAAGTTCTTCTTGCGAAAAAAAAATGAAAAGAAAAATTATTTTTTTTATTTAAATTGAAAAAAATCACCGTTCAACAAAGCGTCGCTTCCGATCGCCAATATAGGAAATGGCGTGAAATGAGCTATTTTGACAAAAATCCAATACAGTACGAGCAACCTGGAGTATCACAAGCAAATAACTTTAATTTAACGAACATTCTATGACACAGAAATGAATGTGGAATATTTCTTTGGTGCAAATTTTTTGGTTGGCTTCTTACTCACCCTTGATTTCGGTCCTTTGTTCTGTGCTTCCCCTTCGGTTTTCATACTAAATATTTGGCTGATTTTGTTTCTGAAATGGGTTTGCCTTATGTCAAGTGGTTTTTTTTTCAAGTTGAATAATTAACTTTACTTTTAACCCATTTCCTACCAGGTGTTCGAAAAACCGTACATTCCGTATGGAAAACTAAACGCTCGATAGAAAATGCGTTAAAATTCCGTTTGAACAAACAATCTATTTTTAATATTGCTTTGCTTTGTGCTTTGCTTTGCTTTGTATCGCTGAATAATTTACTCAATTTCGCATTTTTTTTTTTCAAGTCACACGATGTTCAGAAGCTCATTCAGCCAATGCAAAGTCTCTTTATAAGAAAAAAAAAGTAATGAACTTACCTCATCGCCGTTAACAAGAAAAATGCCGCCACGATAAAATGAAAGAACGATCAAAAAAGATTGGCTTGGTAAATTGCCTGTTGCAACTGTTATCACTTCGTTGTATTTTTCTCCGAACAAAAATGCACTTTCATTCAAAAAAAAAAGTTGAAAAGATTTATTGTATCAAGATAAGAACTTTAGTTTTTAGTAAGAAGTTTTTGCGAGTGTTCGAAACGAGTCGAAACTATATTTATTCTATTATCTCCAGGATTTGAAATTGAAATATTTTAATGGCGATTTGAATGTGTTTTTTTCTTCTATATATTTGTTTCCTTATAGATGAGTTCGAACTTTTAATCACTTGTCGCCAAACCCAGTTTTATTTGAACAACTGTAGCTAATCGTGAATGAACCAGATGTGAATGAACCACATTTAACCAAGACTCCGAGAATTTTCCTTATCCACGTGTTATTTCTGATGAACCTTCTAGTATAGTTTTGATATTGTTCCGTCCAAAAAAAAAACAACTGACCATTTGCTGACTATCTTGTTCTCCAACTAAATGCAAATTTCATTTTATTATTTTTTTCCTCAAACCAAGCAATTTTATTATGACTTTCCAACAGTGACAAACAATCAACTAAAATTAATCGCTACATGTATGACATTTTAGTCGAACAAAAATACTGTAATTTCAATACGAAATGCATTGTGTACTGTCGTCATCTGTGCTGCAATCATTTGCATGCAACGGTTTATCAAAAATATCAATAATCATTTGTGTGATAAAAATGAATAGTTCGGAATGTTATTTATAGTCTAGTCAGCGCATATGCTCACATATTTAGATAAACAATTACAAAAGCCATTTTTCATTGCTTGTTTTAATTGTGATCGCTTAATTAAAGCTACATTATATTGGAAATGACCCAAAGCTTATTCGAACAAAATGTTCATTAAACAGTGTGCTTTAATAAACACATTCCTTATTGTATCATATTTTGTAACCGGTGAATTGTTTTTTTCTGCTTTTCATTTAATTAGAGACATTGTTTGAAATTATTAAAAAAAAAAGTCTCTCTATTTGGTTTCCACCTGAGAAAATCACAATTATAGAAGAAATGTTGGACGCACCTAATCTGGAAGAATATTTATAAGTGGTTTCGTATTTATGTTGGTGTTGGTATTATGTATGGCCTTGTAGTCTGTGAATTAGTTTTTTGCAACTCAATACTATTATATCCAAATGAAGCCAGCCGAAATGGTAAGCATCTCTGCATTTGTTCGGTTTACTTTCGAAATTGGTCGTTTATCCGAAAAAGTGGAATAGAAACATAGATGTCAAAATCGATCACATCCAATGAGCAAAGCATCAAATGACATGCAACTGCACGGGAGACACTTGGATAGTTGCCCACAAATCCAGTAATAATATACAGTGTACGCAGCAAAAGCGAAATATGCACCAATATACACAAATGCTTGATAAGCATACAGTGAAAGTGTTTGATCATCTTCAAATAGCGGAAAAGCTGGAATTTTCATGCAAACTCTGCCAATTCCATATAGCACCATTTTTGTAATGGCGATTTTAAATGCCAATCCTTTCGAATCGTTGGTAAAGATTGAATCATGTCACGGGTTGATTTGGTATTTTATTCAACATCATTTTGATTTTTAAGGGATAACAGACAGATTTGGTGCTTTTAATCCTAATCTATTGAATTGAAGTGTTTTAATTAAGTAGCACATTAATTGAACTAAATTCATTCCCACAAAATATTCCATTTTGAACGAAGAAAAGTGATTTGTTTGTTGAATAATAATTAATTTTTAAATGTTATTTTGTACAAACAAGCCATGACCATGACGGAAATGCACATCAATTACGATTTTTTGTTTTTTTTTTTTCAAGCAAAGTTGTGCTGAGCTTTGCACATTGACCGTTTTCCATTGGAAATTATACACATCACCCTGGGAAAATAACAGGAAATGATGAATTTTTAACCACCAAATGCAGAGATTGCATATTTGCTGCTGAGTAAGTTTGAGCTGAGCTGAATTTGCTAACTCTGGCGCCTGAAGCGGTATTTTAGTGCACTTACGGTGCAAAATTATTGTGGATCGCTGGTATCCACCCAAATATAATTGATAAACAGCGTGGATTCCAGCGATCCACAACAATTTTGCACCGTAGGTGCGCTAAAATACCGCTTCAGGCACCTGAGTTAGCAAATTCAGCTCAGCTCAGGCCTACTCAGCAGCAAATATGCAATCTCTGACCAAATGCCACGAGTTTCATTTCATTGAAAGCACAGGGCTGGAATTCTAAGTCATTCCACCGAAATCGTTCGGAATTATTTTTTTCGTACATAAGACCATATTGGAGTGAAAGAGATTCCACTATTTTTCAGCTTCTCACCGGAATTATTTCTCACACAATCCACTGTTCCTTGAGTTGCAATCCACTCTTCCTTGAGTTATCGGAATAATTCCGGTGGGAAGCTGAAAAATAGTGGAATCTCTCTCTTTCACTCCAATATGGTCTTATATACGAAAAAAATAATTCCGAACGATTTCGGTGGAATTCTTAGAATTCCAGCCCAGAACGTTTGAAAATGATTGCATTCACTTTATCAGTTGGTTGTTAGAATCTACTTGAAGAATTCCAACAAATACATAACAAGCGAATAGATTTTTTTGGATATCTGGACATAAAGAAAATATATATAAATAAATATGAAGTTGGATTAAGCAATTCCGTCGAGAAAGATACTTACAATATAGAAACATTCAAGGTTTATCGTTGAAAATGGTCCAATCGAGAGCCTGACTCCATTTTGTTGTCGATTTATCAAAAGTATCATGTGTTTTTGCAGATCGACTGGCAGTGCATACCACTTGCTGTTGTACAAAACCACACGCATACCATTGTCCTGTAGAGCATTCAATTATGTTCAAGTTCAATTACAATTCAAACAAGAGTTGGATTAAAAAACAAAGGCATTTATGTCTAGCCCCCCTCAAATTAAGAATAACAAAATCGTTCTCGATTAAAATGTTATATCAATACCTGGAATATTTCACCCGTAACGCATATATAAAACAGTTGTACGTAGCAAACGAGAGCTATCCCATAGCCTGCATAAAAATTTAGCTGAAATCATACATAGAAGAGTGAAAATATATTTTGAACGTCACAAAACTCAGTCATTCAGGTTTTTTTTTTGCTTACATATCGACTATGGAATGTAAACTGTACACTGTATATTTATTTAGTTAAATCTTTAGAGGGGAGCTACTCGTGAAATCTTGTTTTATTCCCTTGGTACTTTGTGTGTATAGTTTTCTAATCGATGTGCAAGCAAATAAAAATACGTAAATGACTGTGAAATTGATAGTAACGTTATCACACGAACATTACTATAACAAGCGCTAGAGTACGATTATTTCATTTTTTTTACAAATTCCAAATATTTTCCAATTTTCAAATTATAATATTTTCCAATATTGTTCAAAGGAAAGGGTCTTTTCAATTGAAGCGACGAAGAACAAAACAAGAAAGGTAAAACATTCTCGCTCTACGCTGCGCGTAGAATCTATTAGAACTTACGAAAGGACTAATTATGAGTCTAGTTTGTTATTGCATAACAAACTATAACTGAGCCGTTACATGAAATGTATTAAATCACAATGTATGGATGCATTAGGTAGATGGCATACACGGTACAATAAAGTTCAGGTTACCAAAAATCAAAAAACCAGCTAAACCTTTGTATTAAATTTAATGCTACCACAATAACCAATACTCTACGTCGTACATCATAATCTATGGAAATGAGAATTTTCAAGTATCGTATTGGTAATAACGCTTTAATCTAAATTTGTAGTTGGTCACGGATGATAAATAAACATAAAAACAGAATCTGTTTTGGAATTAAAAAATCCAAAGTTTTGGACCCCTATGGAGAAAAAAATAAATAAACGAAGTTAGTACCTTTTACATTTAATGAACGTTTCATGTAACGGTAGAAAAAAATTCTTGCCCGAAACACAAAACGTGCTCGGACAGGTTTTGCCTATGAAAGCGAAATAAGTACGCATTGTAAACGATAAATTCTATCAATACTCAAATTCTCAATGAGTATTTGATTACCGTGTATTGGCAAATAATTGCCATTCCAATACTATAGGTGAATGACAACGGAGTAAGTAAAGTACGCCAGTAAGCATTGTCTCTAATAGCAATAGCATAGCTAATAATGAATTGAAAGCAAATAAAACCAGTTAGAAAAGTGTGTTTTGTGAATGAATTTTCCCATATATACTCATCGGTGTCCATAATTTGCTGGATGATATTTCTGAATGTTAAACGTGATTGCAGCGCATTCAGAAGATTTTTCTCCATCTTCTCGTCGAATCGCCGAATTTCAAACTCAATCAATTTTGGTGCTAATGTTATAGCGCCAATCAAAATTTCCATCGCGATTTCCATACCTAGATCAAGCATAAATTGTTCGTATAATATAGTATTAATGTATTAATTTGTTACATTGAAATTATCTGACATATACACATACATAAAGTTTGAAGCTGTCACCAACCTACTGAACGTGAACATTATCGTTTGCATATACATGAACACATAAACATTAATGAGGCACGCTCAATATGTGTATCTATGACAGTTTTAAGCTATCCTCGCTCGGGCCTATTGTCGCGTTTAATTCTCTTTAAATTCATACTTGCCTAGATAACCAACTGATCCATACACAGCAAGCGGCATTTGAACAAGAATGTTACCGAAAAATTCATCATATGATCTTTCATCGGTGAATGGAATTCTAACTTCCATTGCTGTTGCTTTGATACCTTTGAAAATGAACGCATAAACTGGGCCTGCGTTCAAGGCGGCCAGACAAAATAATATAACAATCATTCTAATCATGAAACTTTTCACTGAACTATCAATATGTTTCGAATATATTTCACTGTATTCAGTATCTTTATGACCATTTTGAAGAATATGTTGACCACCAAACTTTAGTCCTTTGTGTACGAGGCCTCGTTGTTTTGAGAGTCCTAAGATATAAAATGGCATGCCCTAGAGAGAAAAAAAGGATTTCTCAATTGAATATTATAATTTGAAAATATTTTCATTAGATTCAATTTTCAACTAACTGATATTATGGGACCAAGAAGGTTCGTGCAATTCAGGAATTTAGTCATTTCTCCATCGATCAAGTGATAACACACAGTGTATATGACCAACAGAACATATATACCAACGTATACGAATCCTTGATAAGCAAACACTGAAAGTGTCTGATCGTCTTCAAATATCGGAATGGCTGGAATAATACAGGCTGCTCTGCCAACACCATAAAAATAACACCATTTTTGTAGTGGCGTTTTCAAACTCCAATTTTTTCGAATGGTTCGCAAGGATCGGAACATCTCACGTAAACTTGGTATTACTAAAACTTGGAGTTTTTCATTTGCGACCATTTTAAAATGAATAGAGATTTTGGTGTAGTTAGGACCAAAAAAAAAACAAACTTCTTTTGCTCGATGCTTCAATGCAACTGGATATTTCGTAATAAAATATCCCTTTTTGTACATGCTTTGTCTTGTATCGATTGAAAAATAATTATTTCGCGCTCGGTATATTCAGGAAAATTGTAGTGATGTACATGGTCAAGGACATACACGTGTGTACCATAGCCTGGATCGTAGCATTATTGGTAAATCTGCTCAATTTACTTCCAATTTCAAAGCATTTATTGCTTTTGTTTACGCTGTTGAAATCATTATTTCAAACAATTAGTCGGTATATTGCCACAAACAAATGCAAAGTCCACGTTCAATTAAAAACAATGAACGTAACCGAGTGAACTTCGCATATGTTAATTTCGCAATTACAATGACTAAAAAAAATGAAATTGGAATAAACAAAGCAAATGGATTTTCGATTAAACCATTAAGTGTCTCTTGATAGGCACACAAAATTTTTTTATGGTATAAAGAACGGAAATTTCATTTCCTTGAAGCAACAAACGCTTCTAAAAATTCTGTTTCATATTTAATTTCTTGCCTTGTCCACACATAGTTTTAACTGATGGAATGTCAGCCTCTGCTGTGTCATAGTACTTGTTTTTGAATTTGAGGTCTTGGAATAAAGAACTCACTTATTGTTATTGTCGTCATTGAATTTTTCGATTTTGGCGAAGAAATTATTAATAATTTTAATAACAAAAACTGTCTCTTTCGTTCAACAATTTGCTATGCCTAAAGAGAAGAGTGATTCACAATGAAGACGCAAGTTAAACTGAAATTGCATTGAATGTTTCTTTTGGCCAAAATCTAATTTCTCTTTGTTTAAATTGTTCGGTGCACAAATCACACTGAAGAATCAATACCATTTTTGCTTGACCATCCAATCACGCAGATTTATTTATTAGTCATAGGCTTGTAAGCAGGTAAAAAAAATCTGGGACATTTGCAGTTAGCTGGCTATTTGACGCATTGCGTTATTGACACGTCTACAGCAAAAAATCGCCAAGTCGAATTTGAAACTGACTATTCCACATGATTCACTTCCAATCTCTCAATATTAGTATTTTTCGGCATTTATACAAATATTTCATTTTTAAAATATTACGTGAGATAACTGCAAAAATCTCAGCTGAATATTCTCAGAAAGGATGTTTTGTACTTGGTTTTGTTCTCTACACATATGTTGTTGTTTCATTGAATAATAATGATAAGCAATTTATTGATGCCAAAAACAATTCAACAAAATATTTGTGAGTGTTGCCGTGTGCAAAGTGACGACACGTTTTGACGAAATTTACGGCGAACTCATGAACTAACGAAATTTCAATACAAAATGAAACGAGAGTTCGTGGCGCTGCAAGCACTCAAAAGATATTTTGTACTGAAGTGTCGTCAGCTTGGCAGTATGTGATAACATATATGATGGCCATGGCCAGTGGCTATTGGCCACATAGCTACAAAAACGGTATAAAAACGGAACCATTAATGTAATGGATCAACAGCACTTCATGTGGCTGCTATAAAGGGTAATTTTCTAAGCTCTTACTTTCAAATTCGAACAATCTTCTCATCGAAAACGGTGCTGACATTTATGCTACATATGCTGGGGGATTTACACCAAGAATGGTTTCCATAGGTAAAATGTTCAAAATTGGCTGTCGTTGATATACATTTATCCAATCTATGCATTTGATACTAGTTGTCGTATAATACCAACCATTTTAATTGTTATTTTATCCATCTATGTGTGCAGGTGGAGCCGTCGACATTCTGCAGAAGGTTGAAGAAAATCAACCAAAGAACATGAACTCTAGTATCAATTTTATCCCACTTGGACACTAAATCAAACTTGAGCGTTTTCAATGAATTTCCAGTCATCATTATAACAACGCATTCATTAGAACAGTCAATAACTGTTTTTTTTCTCATTTCCAAGTTATTTTGATTATTCATATTGGTTACTTTGCGTTCTAGCACCGCTATTTCTTTCAATTTCAATAGCTGATTTTTGACGAAAAAAGCCGACTATAGCTATGATTTTCAAAATAGCTGGAAATAACTGAAATAGCTAATCAGGGGCATGCCTGAATATCTGTATCAATATATGACATTTTGTAGCACTAGTAAATTTCTACTGCCATCAAAAAAGTCGCATTTTCCCCTAATTTCGTATTGTAAAATACTGATTCAATTTCAAAATAACCATAAAAAGAGTGTTACAGTAATTGTGGACCTTCATTATTTCGTGAATAAAATTATTAGTTTCCAACAACCAGAGCTCTGGGAAATGATTTTTTTTATGTATGCCCCAAACAAAAATTCAATTTCATACATTCAGATGAATGTATGATGCAAAAATGCCGATTTATTAGTTATAACCAAAATATCCACGAGGTAGGCATTTAAGTCCTAATGGGCACTCCTATCCTAACAGAAAAATAATTATTCTTATGAAAAAAATAGCAGCTTTAAACAATTTCCATTTTAAATGGTCTGTTTAATTCCATGGTCACATTCCACTTTATCGATACTTATACTGAAATTGGTTAATGAGTGGAAACATAGGGTGAAAAGAAGCCAAATAGTTAAAAAAAAAATTGGTTTAGTACTTGATATTTTATTTATGATTCCAGTGTTGTTAGTGATTGAACCAGACTTTGTGCATACTACTTTGTGCTACATACTATGCATAACAAAAAAACTGTGGATTCAAGTTGAAGAAGTGTGGTTGTTAATATGAGGGAATGGCCAAACGTTTTTTCAAAAGTTCCATCTTTTTATTTTGTTTTTTCAACGATAGCGATGTGTTGCTGTCCGCATCATGGATTCGCTTTTGTTTGCGTCGGGTGAAAAAGACACGAAGTGTAAAATAGTAAATTAGTTCAATGAAGCTCAACAGGGATGCGCCCATAAACAATCCAAACAATCCGCCTGAGTTGGCCAAAAAATTGGAAAAATTATAATATTCCAAACGTCTTGATGGTGTAAATAGCTCCTCTTTGAATGATATCACCACGCGACTGAAGGTTGAGCTGAAAAAAATGTGAATTAAGGATACATCAATGTTTCATAGGGATACATTCATGTTTCAGAAAAAAGAACCATGCTCACTCGTGGAACGAAAAGTTCGGCTGATAGCTTGACTTCGAATAGAAGCTAACAAGATCGTAATCAGCTAAATGAAAAATGAAAATTGAGGGCCCCGTTACATCGATAGTTTCAATATAAATAAATTCAACTGCAGATGTAAAGACAGAAATTTACAAAATTTTCAAAACCTTGCGTTATATCTGCATCATAAATCAGAGATTTACAAGCCGGTAAACAATTGCAATTGTCATATGAGCCCGTTGGAAATATGTTATTAGCGGCCATAATGCTGCAATCAATTTTGGATGCGCCACAAATGCGCCAGAATTTTGATCCTAAAGTCAAAAATTTCGAAGAAAAGGAATAAATCGAGGTAAAAAAAAACCACTTTTCAAGCAAAAACCCAACAATAATGAGAATTCGAATTGAAAAGTGGTTTTTGACTGAAAAGTTATTATTTTTACGCAAAATTGTCAATTTAGTATGGTTAAACTATGGAACAAGTTCATATTACGTGGCATAGAAAATTCAACGCATCCACATTGGGCCAGAGTGAAATTAGAGAGACACTCCATTTCACAATTACGTTGCGTATACATTTTGTAGAAGCGCAAACGACGCTCCGAATCGAAAAAGCAACCGCGAACTTGTGGACTGTACTTCCGAACATCCGGTGATGTAAGAATCAAATTTGGACTGATTGTAAACAGCATCGTTCGTCCAGGTGATACATGGTAATATCGTTTTGAAATCTGTGGGCCTTCGTGTGGTGGATGGAATGTTAGTTTGAACCCTTGGATAGCACCGCCACACACGTGATCGATCTAGAACGATTCTATTAATTAATGGAGGGTTTAAATTTCATCGTCACATCAACTTACATCTTCGTTGTGAATGCGAAGCAAAACGGTGAAACTGGACTGTTTTCCCGTGCCATAAACTCGAATTGGATATGGTTCAATATCTTTTGGCTGAAGGCTATAACCAAATTCCATGTTCCAATTTGAAAATGACTGATTTCGTGAAATGTCGAAGAAATCTGGGGCAAACCTAGGAAATCGATTGAAAAACAATTTAACGCTTTGGTTTGGAAAATGCCATTGATCGCATTTTTATCGATAAGAGAATGAACTTATTTATGATAGATTTATAGATCTTGAGTAAACTACTGAAGCCAACACATAGTAATTTTTCACTAGAAAAAATTTGTTTGTTTACACATCAGAAACCCATTCCAAACTTCTTTCCACCACTCCCTCATTTAATTCCAAAGTAATAATGTGAATTCATTAGATTATGCTTACTCATTCGTGAAAATTTCCTCCATGCTCAGCGCGTTGAATGAATAGCACAGGCCCTCTTCTGTAATGGTCGGATAAAGGAATTTGTCGCAGCTTTTCCACTCGTCAAACAACCGACATCGAACCACTCCAAAATAAAATGTGATAATTGATAAATTTCACAATTCAGAATGATTCTAGGTAAAAACTGAAATATTTAAAGTCTAAATTAATGTAATTGAACATACCCGTGTCTTCAAACTTGGGTGCCATTCTGCTGATCGTCGACAAAATATTGGGATCGGAATATTCATCGGTGAAAAATTTAAACACGCGCTCTTGACGACTCTCTTCACATATTTGATTGATGATCTTCATCAATTGCAATCTATGTGAAAATCGATGATTAATAAGAATTGAATTTTAAAATACCTTTACCTTGAAGAAAAAACACTGAACGAAATTGTTCCAAAGTAAAAGAATATCGAACGATTCAAAAGATCTTACTCTTCATCACTAATGTTTCTGGACTTTGCACCGTCCAATTTAAACATCGACCGATACACATCAGTATAATTGAAAATTCTTGCACATGTCTTCGTTTCTGGACATATTGTCATCGCTAAAATTCACCAAAACCGAGGGGGAAATCACTCTAAAGTAATTTTTAGTCGAGAAAATAATAGAGAAGTAATCGAAAAGTAATCGAGGAAAAAAATTTTTTGTTTCGATTACTTTTCGATTTTTGCACGTGGATTACTTTTCGATTACTTCTTTATTATTTTTCCGACTACAAATTACTTTAGAGTGATTTCCCCCTCGACCAAAACACATACAAAAATGGCATTGAATTAATTGAGATTGTTTCAGACGATGTAAACGAGCCAGAATGGCCACTGGCCATTTTACACTTATCTATTCTGATTAAATAGTTGTATTTCATGAATTCATACCTGGAAATGGCACCTCACCAACTTAAAAAAATAAACCAAAATTAATTTAAGTCTAATAATTTTAATTGATCATTCATTTATGACATCATTTGCTTACTTATATGGCATTACTTACTTGACATTGGTTTATGCGAGAGACTTATAATTACAAGATTCTCTCGCCATCTCCACCAAACGCTAAAGATGGAATTTATGCACAGGCATACCAGAAGCAAGAATGCACATATCCACCAAACACTGAAATTCGAAATGATAATTGATAAGTCTCGCCCAATATTTGGCAAAAGAAAAACTTTTTGCGATAATTTCACTTTACCGTTCAATCCAATGTCGTTTGCGATCAACAAAATAGGAAATGCAATGAATTGAACTATGCGTACAAAACTCGGACCAAACGCCAGCAATCTATGTGGAGTAAATGACAAAATTGATTTCACTGAGAAAAGATTGAAGGCAGAACTATAAGTACCGAAAGGCTGTTGCTGCCTTTTAACACGAATCACAAGTTATTTATTTGATGAAAAAGAATCGTTATTTCATAACACATCGATTTTGAAATCCCAAAGCTTCGAAATTATGCACCGAAAAAAGGAAAATTTTCCAGAATTGGTGCTGACTATCGATTTTAAGTCGATAATTTTTTTCAACAGCACAAATCAATATTTGAATCGACCAATCTTATTGAATTTGCAGCGCAAAATCCAAATTCAACCTTAGAATCTAGAATTTCTATGGATAGCATAAACCTCTTCTGAAACAATTAATAGCTAAACTAATCTATCTTACGCGTGTTTTTGCAGCTTCATTTTGTTGGTTAACCCCAGGAACAGCTATAACATTCGGGTGCTTCATTTTAATTCGAAAAATATTGGGCCGTTGATTTTTTCGTCGATGCATCAACATTTTGCACAATTCGTTTTAGATGTTGAATATTTTACTTGTATCTAATGGTTAATTTTCCTTTAAAAATACACGATATCTTCAATTCTTTTGGGATTAAATATTCTCTTTTGAAATCGTTTGAATTGATCAAAGAAATGCTTGAAATTGATTGAAAAAAAAAATGCTTTAAAACTCCTGGGCGATAAACGAATTCTTAAAAAGCGAGCATTCTGCTGAAGTCTGTGGTGACCACTAAATTAGCCAACGACTGTAAACGGTACCTGTGCCATACACAGAACTGATTACTTTATGAAATTGATTAAGCGGAAGAAAACATTTGAGATAATAATCAGTACCAAGGACATTATTGGTCAGGACATTACATAGTTGCAGTGTACGTTTTTCTTCTTCGAATTTTTTTTTATCGAAACCTTTCTTATCTAAAAAAAATTTCGAATTTCTTATCATCTTGTCAAAAATATTACGTCGAACGAAAGATATTATATAAGATAAAAACCATCACAAGTGGCACATTCATTCTAGAAGGTATAACAAATGTGTATACAAAATGCCCACTGTGTACTAAATAACAAAATAATGACAATGTTTGTTTTTAGATTTATAGGTACTTGTACAATGTGGAATGGAAAGAAAAATAGATGAAAATCGAACAGTCAAGTAGAAGGTTGGGTAGTAGCATATTTCTTCATACTAACATCAATAAAAAAAATGAAAACGAATGAATTTGTTCATTTCATTGTTTTGAGTTTTATTTCCGAGAAAAAAAAGTAGAAGAAGAAGAACTCAAGAAAAACAAGAACAAGAAAAAGAAGAGCGAAAAAAATGGAAGAAGAAAACAACAAAGGAAAAGCACGTTATAGATTGAACGAAATTCTTAGACACACATGATCTGTAACCATCCAGACGTCTCATGCAAAATTCGCATTGCGAATTGCGTGTCTATTTACGGTTGGCAGCTTAATTATGTTGAATTTGAGCAAAAGAAGACAACGAAACGCTTCAAGAGTAAAAAAATCAATACGCGCCAGCAAAACCTGAGAGATAAAATGTTGTATCAAAGGCCACTTGCTTAAAGCTCTCTCTGTTACTTCATTCATGACGACAATCAATGATTGGTTCAAATGAGGTTATCATCATCTTGTACGTCTGGCTAAAATTAACGTTATCATCAGCTGTTTCGAAAGAAATCCTGTCGCATCGCGAATATTTGGAGCAATTTCTGGCAGTTATAGTCAATTAGACTAACAAGCTCGTTCTCTAAAGAAGAGACCCATTTATTTTTATTTACAAAACAATTCTTCAAAGAGTAAAACATATCGAAGGTAGCTAAAACTAAATGCAACATAAAAACGCTAGAAGATCATATTTTTTTTTTTGGTAAGGGAATGCTTATTTCTAAAACAAAAACATGTTCCATATGGTTCGTAAAGATTTCTCATACGTAAAAAATGGCATGCAGTGAAACTGGTTCGTACATTTTTCTCAATTCGAACTTGTTCTTCTTATGTAATTGCAAATAATGTTCAATAGCTGTTTGCAAACGCCATCGCTGCAACATTTTTGTTGTCCGAGTTTCTGTACGATACGAACGTAGCACGCTTCATGCACATTGTAATTAATGTTGTGTACGCTCACTTGTTCGTGATGTGCAACATGTGCATTTTTCTATTCAAATGTAAAAGAGAACGGTTTGGACTGGAGCATTAAATAACATTTTAATACATCAAATGGCATTAAATGGACCCTGACGATAGTTCTGGGTTAATTGCCAGTAAAATCAAGTGATTTTATTGCATTCATATGTTGTATTCCATCTCCCTACCACATGATCTTACCATAAATGAAATATGTGGCCGAAAATATGCTGCTACGGCTAAATAATTGATATTTTCTTGGTGTTGCACCAGTCAATGGTAATTGATGAAACTTCATGCGATTTATTGCACTTTAGTCGGTTTCCGAAGAACGCAGTGCGAAACGATTAGTGTTGAGTGAAAGCCAATGCAGTATGGAAGTTAAATTTTCAATCAACAATCGACCATTTGCAGGTGAATTTTTTGGAAATAAATAGTTTTAAAGGAAAAGGTTTCTTTTGAAGAATTTTCTTTAGAAAAATACTGATTTCATTGATAGTTAAGTGTCTTTCTTGTAAGATATTGCGTCAAGCATACTCAATTGTTCAAAAATAGGTCTCAAGTGTTGAAGTTTCTGTGTGAATTTGATTTGAAATCAAACTTACTTGTGTGTTTTGCTTAAGTTAAGCAATAATTATTGCTCACATTGTTCTCTAAAGTTCTTTGAAAAATGATTTTATTGTTCGTGTTCTTTCATTCGTCCAGTGAATCCATCGATTGTTCCCGTCGACACAACATTGAATACGTTTATAAGAAGCTATGCACGATTGACAGGGACGAAGTTCATGTGTTTGGAGGGAGGTTGTGGTGTTTGTATTGTCAATATCACCAGATTGAAAACATCTACCAATGAATTGAGGTCAATTGCAGTGAATTCAGTGAGTTTGGCAATTTTTTCAGTTGATTTTTTTATTTTTTTTAATGAATTTTTTCATTTTACTTCATTTCTCGTGTGTGAATTGTCAATTTCAAAAAGTATCAACTTAGACTCGATTTTTGGTTTTTACCCTCATTTTTTCAATTTTTTTTCCTTCTTTTTTGATATTTTTGCATTAAATGAAAACTTTTTATTGTTATTTAATGAAATATAATTGTATTAAATTAATATTATGGAAAATAGTATCCAACACAGGATATGATGTACATGAAAAAGTAAAAACAGAAGTAACTTGATTCAATCGATTTACGATTATTATTTACGTTCTTTCGCAAACAAATTTTAGTGCCTTTGTCTGATTTATGCTTGTCATGGTTTGAACATAACAACGATTGAAGGTCTTGGCGGGCGCGAGTATGGCTATCATCCGATTCAGCACACACTGTACGAGTACAATGGCAGTCAGTGTGGCTATTGCTCGCCAGCAATGATTATGAACATGTACAGTTTACTCGAGCAGAACGGCGGCAAAGTAACCCAACAACAAGTGGAGAATTCATTTGGTGGGAATATTTGCCGTTGCACCGGATATAGACCAATTCTAGACGCCTTCAAATCACTTACCATCGATTCAACAATCGGTGACATTGAAGATGTCGCCTCAACATCATGCTGTCGATTGAAAAAATCCAAACATTATCGACATACTTCGATTAGCTGCGGAACAACAACATTGGGAGAACTTTGCAGTACACTGCATTTGACATTCGGTGACAGTCGAGTTTGGTATCGTGTCACATCTTTGCAGGACCTGCTCGACACATTGAAGAACATTAAAGATGAATATATGCTGGTTGCTGGCAATACGGCTCATGGTGAGTTGACTTGAAATGTCCACCGTAAAGAGTCTGTTTTATTGATTTCTTTCATATTTTCTTCTCTTTTTCTTATTCTTTCTTTTCACAAACAAAACCACTAAATTTCGACCAATCTACTTTCCTCGTCAGGAGTGTATCGGCGTTCCACCAGCATTAAACATTTTATTGATGTGAACGCGGTGTCTGAATTGCACAAAATATCGAGTCGTCGAAGCAAATTAACACTTGGAGCCAATGTATCTTTGAATGAAGCGATGGATATTTTTGAAAGTGTTGGCGCTGATAAGCCAGATTTTTCCTACTGCCGAGAGCTTGCGAAGCATATTGACTTAGTTGCTACTGTTCCCGTTCGAAATGTGAGCAAATTTTGGTGATCATGTGATTTTTTTTTACAAAAACGTCCATTCGAAGCGTATTCCGTGTGCAAATGAAATGACTAACAGTCACTCAGTTGTATATAACTGTATGTAGTGATACACAACTAAAACTGACTAAGTTGATTGAAATCATGCGTTTTGTATGGAGACAATCACGTTTAGTTATTCTTTCACTCAAACTGAGTGAGTGTAGTCATTTTCATGTCTTGATGAATATCCGCTCTTTTATAGTGAAAAATTATGTTTTGTGGTTCAAGTCCAAATTACAGAAATAAACGAGACGAATTCCCACATTTTTCCCAAGAATAGAGGAAAATTCGAATTTTCCGAGTCAATTCTCTTCGATGGTCACATCAATTTTCAAAAAAAAAGAAGCTTAGGCTCCGGCGTGATTCGAACACACGATCTCCTGTTTACTAGAAAGGCGCTTTAACCAACTAAGCCACGGCGCCGGCATCTTCTTAAAAATTTAATCAATTCAACTAAAGGGACTAATAATCCAAAAATATCAATCAAATTCAAAAACCAATCAAGATGTTTAATAAAGTGATAATGTCCTGACTTTATCATTTTCTAAAAAAAATCAATTTCAATATGTCTATCCTTTCCTTGATATTACTACTTCATTTGTTACAACAACAAAAAATCACAATTCAGATTATTTGTTTCATGATTAGGCAGATTATTTAAATTTAATTTTAGTTATAAAACCGAAAGTGAGATGTTTTGAATTGATTTCATTACTTAACCTGAAGCTGAACTTGACATTAGTATAAAAGTGAAAGGCTGGCTAAGTAACGAAATGAAAACTCAATTCAAATTATGTAGCAAATGATATAATTATATTTTCAAGAAGATGTTGGCGCCGTGGCTTAGTTGGTTAAAGCGCCTGTCTAGTAAACAGGAGATCGTGTGTTCGAATCACGCCGGGGCCTAAGTTTCTTTTTTTTCAATTCTCACTGAAGGCATTTTCCTTATTTAAAGCACAGCATCTATGTGTACTTGTACATGGTTAGGAGTAGTATAGTTGTTCTATAGAACAAGTTCTATAAATATAGCTCTCAGAAATATCCACTCCTTCATAGAGAAAAATCATGTTTTTGATTCACTCAAGTCCAATTTTACCTAAAAATAAAATCTACATGAGGAGGATACAGGAGGAAAAAAAACATCTTCATGGAAAAATTAAGTGTGAAAGTGAAAGTGTGTCATGAATGACCCCAACAACACAGCAGTGTTAAATCAAACCAGTTCACTAAAAGAGAAAAATAAGAAAAAAAAGAATTGTTTAAATAAGTCTTAAGAAATGATTTAGATCACAATTTTTTTTTTTTTAGACTGGAACCATTGCCGGTAATTTGAGCATCAAGCATCAGCACAATGAATTTCCATCGGATATATTTCTTCTACTGGAAACGGTTGGCGCTGAACTGAATATCGTTTCACTCGACGGTGCAATTCAGTCGTATTCACCGAAAGAATATTTATCATTGGATATGCGGCAAAAGGTCATTTTGAATGTAAATCTGCCAAAGTTAGACGCTAATCAGTTTACGTTTCGATCGTATAAAATTATGTGAGTTTGGTACAAAATGTTATGCAATTTATTTTCTCTATCGACCATTCCAACGTATATATACCAAGGTAGACACAGTTTTCTAACGCACAAGTTTTGATGAATTTGTCTCATTTGGCACCGATTAGTTCCGAGTACATCTATGCATTTTAAATGTAAACTCAAAACTTTGACAGTTCTCTGTGTATACTACGCACATTACACAGAACCAAATGGCACCGCGTAGCACCGAGTAGATTTTAGTATCGCCGAGTGTTTGTTGAGTATGAATTTGTGTCTAACCCTTTGATATATACGTTTGAATATAAAAATCAAAAATTTTGAATCATAAAAAATTGAAAACATTGCCGTTTTAGGCCCCGAGCTCAAAATGCGCATGCCATGGTAAATGCCGGCTTCCTATTTGAATTCGAAACGGCCGGTGTAAGAAAGTCGGTGAAATCGTGTCGAATTTGTTATGGTGGCATAAATCCGAATTTTATCCATGCCGAAGAAACTGAAAGTCTTCTGACTGGCGTCGACGATTTTTATACGAACGAATGTGTGCAGAGAGCTGTTGCTTGTTTACAGCATGAATTAAATCCGGATACCGTCCTACCAGATGCATCGCCGGAATATCGAAAGCGGTTAGCGACATCACTGTTTTATCGCTTTTGCTTGAATACAACAACGCGAAAGGCACGTTATGAATTTCGATCGGGAGCCACAGCAATTGAACGACCCATATCATCTGGGATGCAATCATTTGACACCAATGAAGATCTATGGCCTCTGACTGAGCCAGTTCTGAAGAATGAAGGTTTAATTCAATGCGCAGGAGAAGCACAATACACTAATGACATGTTCAGCCATTATCCGGTTGCAGAAGAACTCTGGGCAGCATTTGTGCAAACAACCGAATTTCATGAGAAAATCATGAAAATTGATCCATCGAAAGCATTGGTATGGGTTGACATTTTGAAATTATTTAAACGAGTTTTTGTCATAGGAAAAAAATTATTTTAATCATTGAAAATAAAACGAATTAATTGGAAAAATCATTTTACTTGCAGAAAATCCCAGGCGTACACAGTTTTTTTACCGCCAAAGATATTCCCGGGAAAAATTCATTTACACGTCGGGAGCCAAACGTTGGTATGCTTGAGGATGAACGCATTTTGGTCGAGATTGATTCAATCATTCAGTATAACGGTCAGCCATGTGGCATTATTGTTGCGAATAGCATGGCGCTAGCAAACTACGCTGCAACTCAAGTGAAAATCACATACAAAAAGATTCGTGGAAAAGAACCACTAATCATTGGCAATGTGTTAAGTGTCATCGATTCACTTCGAGATCAACCAAATGAACCAATTAGCCAAGTTGAAGAAGGTAGGTACTACCTATCTACAGGTAAACACTTTTATTCATTAAAGCATTTTGAAACAAAACAACGGAGATTTAAACACCTAAGGTATTACCTTGATTGAATTACTTATTCATCTCACAGTGTATGCTTGAAAATGTGGAAAAAAATGGTCTAATCTAAATTGGTCAGTAAAAATTGCTGAAAAGTAAAAAAACATTTCTATCTGATATTAAAAATGTAGCGCGTTTGATTTGAGACAGTTCGTTTGAAAATATTTTACTCTGACTGACTGCTTAAATCGATCAAAAATGAATCAACTCACAGATAGTTGAAAAAACTTTCAATTTGGTATGGAAAATCAGTCAACTTTAATCACTCCTCATTCAATCGCTTAATTTCGGCCATTTTTCGAACTATTTTATTCGAGATAACCATTTTTAGTCAGTCTATAGATATATCTAGCCAAAATGTCCGAATTTGAGCGATTAGCTACTCATGAGTAGGTTTGATTGCACACAAAGTATTTTTACATGGAAACTCATCTTTATCTCATCTCTAAAAACTTCAACTTGTTTTCAGCTTTCCACATTCAAATGAAAGAAGAAGAAAAAAAACAAATAACTCAATGTTACAATAATAATCCGATTTATTATGAAATCAAAGAAAACATGCGAATTGCTCAGTATAGTCAATAAATTGGATTTCGAAAGTTGCACGGCGATGGCACTCTATCAATTTTGATATGTTAATATATTCATTGGATGGTCAGCCTAAACGGTATCCACTATATCTTGATCACCTGGAACTTTATTATATAGATCGTCCTGATTTTCGGGATAGCCTCCTGCTGCTACAAAGTATGCCTTGAATTCAGAAAAAAATGAAAAACAAAATAAATGATCAATTGTTTTACAAAATGCGACTTTTCTGCTCACTCTTTGACAATTTTACTTACTTCGCGAAAAAATAAAAGAAGTACAGCGTAAACTTTGAAATTCATTTTTCAGACGAATGTCACTTGCAACGGTTGGATTTATTCTGAAATCAAATGAAACGACGAATTCCTTCTATAGCAATCCATTAAGTTCGAGAAATTGCGATGAATCCTAATCAAATGTGTTTTTTTTACTGATTTGCAACAGTTGTTTGTGATTATTGTTAATTCACTTCCTATAAACAATCTAGTTTTGTACTGAAATTCCGTACATTCTCTTTTGCGAAGCGCAATCTTATCACAAATTGTGTGACTCAAAGCACATACTTGTCGGTCGATCGGCAGAATCATTTCTATATGCAAATGATAGGATTAAGTGTCATGGTCATCAACTAGCACCAAAACTTATACGAAAGCGTTATCAGCGTAATTCAATCAAATGATGACCTCTAAATGAATCGTTATCTCAATTTCATTGATTTGAAATAGTCGTTTCAGCACTATCAATGCATAGGAGCCTAATATTGAACTACAAATGTCATTATCAATAACCACGTTCACTTGAGCTGTTTTTTCTTTGGTGCGTCGTAGATTGAGAATCCTCCAGAATATATTGATAAATGTTAAATTAATGCCATAATAATATCCAACGATAAGAGCCCTAGTCAACGAAGAATATAAGAGCTCTAGTCAACCTATCCATGTATGTCGCAATTTCCTAATGAATTCCTTTTTTCCAGAGCCACCAGCCGAAGCGAACAACGAAGCTGTTCCAACGGTTGCCATTGCCGGTGAATATGAAATCGGCACACAATACCATTATCCAATGGAGCCGCAAACGGCATTTTGTATGCCAGCCGATGATGGGGGAATAAATGTGTATGCTGCCTCGCAATGGCCAGACATGGTTCAATTTGCAATTAGTCAATCGCTTGCAATTCCGCACAACAAAATAAACATCACTGTTCGGCGTGTGGGTGGGGCATATGGATCAAAAATTGCAAGAAGTTCATTAGTTGCCAGTGCTTGTGCATTGGTGTGTTATTTAACCAACCGGCCGGTTCGATTTGTGATGACAATGGAGTCGATGATGTCGATTTGTGGCAAACGTTACCCATGCGCGAATAAATACAAATTAACAGCGGAAGCAAGTACAGGGAAAATTCGAAGTCTAAACAATTTCTATGTGCAAGACTATGGATATTCATTGAATGAAATGAATGATGATGGCGCTTTGAATACGTTTTTATTGGGCTATGTGTCGAATCGATGGCAGAATTCTGGCAAGAGACTCCTGACAAATGTGAATTTAAGCAATTGGGCTCGTGCACCCGGCACCACTGAATCGATTGCGATGGGTGAAACGATCATCGAACATCTTGCACACAAACTGAAAATGGATCCAGTTCAAGTTCGTCTCAATAATATGGCCGAACGCGATTCTTGGAAATTATCAGTGGAATCAATCCTAACGGATATAGGTAATGGATTTTGGAAAATTTCTAAACTGGTATGGTTATATTTTGACTTCATTTGCAGATTATTACGAACGCCGAAGAGAAATTGAACGATTTAACGATCGAAATCGTTGGCGCAAGCGTGGCATTGGGTTTATACAAATGAAATTTCCAATTGGTTATATTGGCGCTTTTTCGTCGTACGTTGCCATTTATCACGGTGATGCAACGGTTATCGTGAGCCATGGTGGAATTGAAATTGGTCAAGGCATAAATACGAAGGCAGCACAAATGGCAGCATTTGCTCTCAACATTCCATTAGAAATGGTGCAAGTGAAGGCAACCAATAATGCAACTGGTCCAAATTGTATTTTCACTGCAGCTACTGTAGGCAGTGATAGTGTTTGTTTGGCTACCAAGAGAGCATGTGAAATTCTTTTGAAGCGAATCAAACCGATTCGCGATCGAATGCCCGAGAATGCCAAATGGCAAGAAATTATTGAAGCGTGTCATCAAAATTTTGTCGATTTAACTGCTAGGTACACGTTCATTCCCAGTGATTCAAAGAACTATTTTGTGTATGGATGTTCATGTGCTGAAATTGAATGGGATGCACTCACGGGCAATTTGCAAATTCAGAGAGTGGATTTGATTGAGGACACCGGACGCAGCATGAGCCCTTTGATTGATGTTGGTCAAGTCGAAGGCGCCTTCATAATGAGCCTAGGCTATTGGCTGACGGAGAAATATGTTTACGATCAACAAAGCGGTGAGTTGTGGAATGTAACCAAAAGAAATACCTAAAATATGCGCGAATAAACCTTAAAAAAAACTCAAATTTTGAATGAATTCAACTTTTCCAGGACAACTCTTGACAAATCGAACGTGGCACTACAAAACACCCGGAGCCAAAGACATTCCAATTGATTTTCGTGTAAAATTCATCGAAACTGAAAACACCAACAACAGAGTGGGTGTGCTTAGGTCAAAAGCCACCGGTGAACCAGCAGTGGCCCTGGGTTATGTTGTGGTTTCTGCCTTACGCCATGCACTTAGCTCGGTGCTCAAAGACAATGGACAGAGTGACACCTTTCTTCCATTGGGTATTTTGGACATTTTATATTTCAAATTTAAAACACAACTAATAGGTGATCATTTTTTAGGCTCTGGTCTCACACCAGATGAACTCTGCTTGGCAGCCCCTGTGAATATGGATCACTTTTTGATAGAATAAAATACAGTTTTTTTGGTGAAAATAGATTAAGCACATTTAATCAAATCATTTCTAAGTTAAGACACTGAAATTAAACGGCAAAAAAACGGTGCAAAATCTCATGTAATTGATCTCTTACTTTTGAAAGTTGAAATATTTACACATTGAAGATTGGGTAAAGTATTTTTTTTTTTCAGTCGGAATCAGTCTAAACGAAATACGCGTAGAGAAATGGTTTTTGAAAACTAATTTTATCTGATGCAAAACCAGCCTCAAAAAAAGAAAGAAAAAAAAGACGAGAAGAAGAAATCGGATTTTCGACGCCATTCGTATGAATGCCACGGCTCCGCTCTTGATTTAGTGGACAAACAATATCTATTGACTAGATCGAGAGGAGAGTAAGTTCATCTGACTTTGTTACGAAAGAGGAGAGTAAGTTTCTTTCGACTCAAAAATGGTTAGAGGCGAGTATGTTCATTTTTGGCGGGTCCTCGCGGTTTTTCACGGTTTCCACGGAACTGATAAGAGATAACAACTTGGTGTCTTCGGCAAAGTTGTAGCACTTGAGGTCTTCTATAACATTGCTGAAGTCAATTATCTCTTATCTCTTATCAGTTCCGCGAAAAGCGCGAAAAATGATAAGAAAAAAAAGTTCTATATAAAATTTGCTTTTTTATGTGCGCGATTTGCGCGCAACTGATAAGAGATAGATGTCTTCAGCAATGTTATAGAAGACCTATAGAACTTTGCCACACCATGTTGTTATCTTTTATCAGTTCCGCGGAAACCGTGAAAAACCGCGGAGGCTAGACGGGATGCCAACATACTTCCTTTTAACGCAGATAGAATCAACAGAAATCATACTCTCCTCTTTCAAAATATATTCGAATTTTTTCATATACTCTCCTCTCGATCTAGTCAATAGATATGTACATCAAATACCTAAATGAAAATGCATACAGTGCTAATTTATGTCGATGGGCAATCGAACTGGTAATTAAGTTGAAAAAGCAAATACCTTCGATTGATTTCCGCGTTTGATTGGCTGAATTGTGTGATTTTTGCTTTTCAAGAAGAAGATGCGTAAGGTGAACAAAAATCGAAATTCACAGAGAAAATCAAAAGAAACGCAACAGACCAGAAATAATGTAAAACAACTGAAGAATATTACCGAACCACTAGTGCTAATGTAAAACTGAAACTGAAACTCTATCTGAAATCAGTGAAATGACTGTCCAGTGTCCACTTTTATTGTGGGCAATATGCATAAAACTGATTTCTTCGTCCCTAATGCATATTTTTGGGTATTTTTATAAATGATCCATTTTTTCATTCCGTATATTACAGAATTATTTCAAAAATGCATTAATATTCCACTATTTATCATTTTCAATTTTTTTCAATTAATCTCTCTTATGAATCAATGGAAGAAGAACACCCAAGAGAGAACTTTTGAAAACACCACAATTTTAGAATTCGACGCCTACTAAAACTTCTTTCCAAATTAAAAGGTCATCAATTGCGTCACCACATCGGTAACCATCGACCAAGATTGGGATTTTGAATAATCCTTCTTGAATCTTCTTATCTTTCAATGAATAAATTTCTCTTTCAATCAAAACAAATTCGTATTTTTTTTTCTTCAAAATTCTTTATTGATTCAACAATTTAGAACTAAGAAACAATGAAACTCCCAGATGTTCGTTTGATCTTAATTAAACATCTGTCAATTTCCAATTTACCATCTGTTCCAGCCAGAGTAGGTGCCGATGGCTGGAGCGGCAGCAACTGGGTATGGAACTGGTACTGGACGATCAACAGCAACTGGGTGTGGTACAGCGACCTTTTGTATAATAGTTTGGACACGGTCAACTGGAACAGCGTATGGCTGCAATTGGATAAATGAATGTAATCTTTAGTAGGATATCTTCAGAATTGTTCGACTCAGTCGAACGAAAGAAAACTTACCTTGGCAACTGGAACTGGGACATGAACTGGGTATGGCTGTTTGGAAAAAGCAAATGAAAATATTTGTTATGCATTGATCAAATGAAATAAATCGACAGAACCATCAAAATTGACCGTTCAAACCGGAAATTTTGTTTAGCGTCGCTTTTTTTGGATAATAGAAACTTACTTGTGGTACTGGACGGTCAACTGTGTATGGTTGTGGGACGTGTTTCACAACGTGAACTGGGTAAGGCTATAAATTCAAAATAGTTTGGTAGCGTTTAGTATTTTCGATCAATATTGTTCAATTGTGAAACTTCAACCCATTGGAAATGATAATTACTTGTGGAACTGGACGGTCGATTGGGACAGTTTGGACGACAGTGCGGTCAACTGGGTATGGGACTGGAACACTAACCTGAAATGAAGTGTGTACGTTAGAATTTCATTCATCGAAATTGTCAGTCAAACGTTAAATGCTCAGCAATAAGCAACATACTTTTTGGACTGTGTGAGTGTGGGTGTGTTGGTTGATTCCGACGGTTTGAGCGACAGCGACTGGAGCGGCAGCATAGCTACTGATGGCTGGAGCACCGTATGATGTGGCACCATATCCACCGAATCCACCGTAACCGGCAAAGGAACGTTTATCTCTCTTGTCTTCTTTGGCCATACCGAGGGCCAACAAGGCGAACAAGCAAACAACCTAAATCACAAACGAAACACAAAATCCAATCAGAAAAAAATATTCTATCACGTTTTTTCGGTTCTTTTTTTCAAATATCATTTTTTTTTCCATTTCTTCATTCTAACTATGAATAGAACACAATTATTTTTCTTCACTTTTAAGCTCAAAACAGAACAAACAAAAAAACTGTATGTAAAAAAGAAGTTGATTCTTCTTGTTGTTCATACCAAGAATTTCATTTTGCCAATGTTAACTGTTATTTGTTGAGGAACGAACTGAGTATGAACTTCGATCAAAATTTGCAGAATATTTATACCAAAAAATCGTAACTCCCACTTTTCTCCCATTTGCCGACTGGTAAAAATCAAATTAATCGATTAACTAGCCGTTTTATATACATTTGAGAGAGAATCAGATTAATGACGCACACATTTCTCCTTCGTTGACATCTTCTTCATTCTACGATATTCTCACCTATCCATGCAACAAAGTTGCTTCGTTTACATTTTTATGATTGTCGCTTACGTATAATGAGCTAATTGAGCACTTGAAAGTGATCTAGTGTTTTTTTTTTGGTAGGTAACATTAAAAGAAAACTTCAATTAGTTTATGAGTTTGTGGGTGAATGTGCTGGTGCTGCGGGTCATATGACGGTCAACGGTAACCGATTGGTGAACAAAAACGAATGGGAATGTTATACAAGGCGATTTGAATCATATGATCGCATCACATGAGACGGATATCTAGTGTACGGTCATAACTACTTTCTAGTATCTTAGGTAAGTAATGAGTATCCATTATTTATGATCCATTTACTCTAGATGAGTATCCATGACTGCTGAAACGAAAAATTACACAAAGGAGAAAGAGAAAAGGTCAAAACACAAGACATTTTCTTCTGAAAAGTGATTTCAAAAATGATACGGATAAAAATGCAAATGATATTCTAAGAAAAATATGAGACCACTTCGGTATTTGAAATATTATTTAAGCATTTTCATATCAAAATTAGCCAAGCACCACCAACATATACCAGTTGTTCTAACGCTGAAAAGAGTTGATGCAGTTGGTGATTAAACATTTAACGTCGCTCTTTTGAATCAATCTCCTTTTTCTTCACCATAACAAGCGACTAGGGGGAAAGAACTGTGGAAATATGTTGTAAATATTGTAAATGAGTGTAAATGAACATACTTATTTGTATGAATATTTACAGCGTATTTGCGACCTGCAGATGGCGCTCGCGCGGCTGTCAATATTTCAAGTATTCATAAATATTCTATGTAAATACGCTTTTAAATGGACGTAAAATGAACGTAAATATTGCAAATGCTTACAAATATTTACAAATATAAATAGTTCTTTCCCCCCAGACAAGCGATGACATTTCTGAATAAATGTTCTATTTTAAAAGCAAACTCCACACAACCAATTAATTATGGCTTTTATAGTCAAAATCCTGTTTGTGAAAAGAACGAAATGAAACATGCCACAGATTTTGGTTTTTGCATTGCGTGAACAATTTCTACATTTTCGTTGAATTCATTGAAATATACGTGAGCATCGGTTTTCGCTTGAATGTTTCTTATTTTCGATCTTCTTGTCGGCTCCATGTCCTTTTTTTACTGGTCAATATGAATAAAACCAATTTCTCTTATCATTCGAGAATTCAAATGTTCTCAATTTTATTCACACCGACATTGATACACATTACACATAAATCTAATTCGTACATTTTGGATTGTTTTCGTTTTCTTTCTGCTTCTTGTTCCAGATCCGGATTCTTCATTTTTATTTAATCTTATCTTTCTTTTCATCTTTTCTTCTTTGAATAGGTCAGTCACAGTTTAAGTGTAAATCGTGATACTAATGTTAATTATCTATTTGATTCGTTGAAATTTATGAATGTTAAGCAACAAATAATCTTTAGAATATTATTATTTATTTATAAAATTGTGAATGGCCTTGCTCCAAAATACCTAACTGATAGAATAGAATACAGACAGCAAATTCACAATAGAAATTTGAGAAAAGCAAACACAATATCAGTCACTAATGCTACAAAAGCATGTAGCCAAAATGCCTTGTTCTACAGGGGAATTCAACATTTTAATGCCATTCCATATGAAGTTAGACAAGTTGAATCGATAAAAATTTTTGAGAATAAATTAAAAAATTATGTATTAGAAAATTATTAATGAAACCAATGTAAAAACTGTAACGTTGTTTTATGGAGAGATCTAAATAAATATCATATTATTATTATTATTAACATGTGACGCAAAACCATTAATTTGAATTAAATAACACTATAAATTAACTTCAGATTCAATTCACGCATAGATGCTGAAAACAATCGTCACATGAATGATTTTAAGTGCAAGCAATGAAACAATGAAATATTCAATCAAAATAGTGTTTTAGCAACAAAAAAAACATTCATTATGGATAAGCCTGTGCAATATTTCCCAAAAGGTCACACACACACACACACACACAATTTAATCAAAAACGACAAAATAGTCTGAAATACAAACAATTTCGTCTAAAAACACATTGCTTCTGTCCAAATCGTTTGAGTTTCTTAGATTTTGGTTTCTTTTGGATATAGAATGTGCCAAAATATCATTTTATGGTAAATACATCATTTGTTTGATGGGTTTTATGGTTGTGTTGCGGCCAGTTACTTGATTGTATGAGTTGTATGTGGGCAAAATAGTGGAAATTGGTTGTTGTTTCGTTTTCTGTTGTGAACGCTTCGAGAATATAATTCGAATCGTGAAATAATAGAGTAGTTCAATGAAGCTCAATGTAGATGCTCCCAAGCAAAGGCTAATTAAGCCTCCAGAATTTGCCAAAAAATCGCTGAGAGTATAATATTCGTCACGTTTCGATGGAATAAAAGATTCTTCTCTGAACGAAATCACCAATCGACTGAAAGTTGAACTGAAAATGGATTCGAAAAAAAGATTAAACAATTTGACATTTCTAGACTGAAGACTTGAAAAAAAAACAGCAGCTAAAAAATGACGACTTCTATTCTTAAACCAAAGCAAAAAAAAAATTCCATAAGAAATCTTGAATTAGGTAAAAGGACTTGCTTTTCAAAATCGATCCGATTGAAAACGTGATCCGGTTGAAATTGTGCCTTTGAGTAATGGCTGACGAGATCGTAGTCAGCAATTGATATATCTGCGTCATACGATAATGACACACAACTTGGCAAACACTTGCACTTATAAAACGCTCCGTCGCGATAAATATTGTTACCGGCATTGGAAGCGCAGTCAATTTTTGCTGAACCGCAGACTTTTGTCTCTTTCGTTCCTATCGATTGAAATCGAAATTTTTCAGTCATTTTTTGAAGAAATTCCAAATTGAAGACATTTCTTCTTTAAGCCACAAAAATATTTTAATGTCATTAAAAAAAAAAGAGAACGATATCATACTGGGCATTGTAAATTTAACGCATCCACATTTGGTCAGAGTAAAATTAGCCAAGCACTCAACTTCGCAGTTATGTTGACTATATTTTTTGTAAAATTGCAACTTTCTTTCTGAAGAGAAGTAACATTGTGTGACATCTGGGCGGTATTTCTTAACGTTTGGCGTGGAATAGGTGAATCGTGGATCAATGCTGAATTGTGCTGTTTTTCCGGGTGAAACTTGGAAATAACGTTTGAGTACTTGAGGCCCATCATGTGGCGGGTGAAATATAACTTTGAAGCCCTGCACCTCACCGCTGCACAAATGATCAATGTCATTGTTATCAACTCGCAGTACAATGATAATACTGGCTTGATTACCAGTGCCATAGATTCTATGCGGATATTTATCATTTTTTATTGATTCATCATATCCGGATTCCAAATCCCAGTTTGACGGTGGCTGATCATTTCTCATACCAAAAAACTCTGACGTTAATCTAGAAGAGAAAATGAAATGAAAACAAGAAATTGGACCAAATCGAATGTATGATTGGATTTGAGATTTATCTAATCAAAAAGTCTATTTTGGGTGAATGTACGCCAGACAAACCAGTTCACTCACTCATTTGTGACGATGTCATTGATATTGAACCCGTTGAATACGTAGCAAAGACCCTCTTCGGTAATGATTGGGAATAATAGTTGATCGCATGCTGTCCACCGGTCAAACTGCTTGCACCGGACAAATGTATCATCAAATTTTGGCGCCAACTCACTGATTATCGATTGAATTGAACTGTCCGTATAATTCTCGTTGAATAAATCGAATACATCACGTGCAATCCGGTCGTTGCACAATTGGCTGACAATTTGCACTACTTTTAATCTAGCATAAATTCAATTAGGAATTCAAGCGATTGAAAGTAGAATTGATTGAATGACTTGAAACAATAACTTCAATTACTAAGCGATTACAATGTAGTAAGATTGATAGCTATCAATTATTTCAATGACTAAAAATGATACACATCAACAAACGATGACATAATTATGAAGGAAAATAAAAAGACGTACTCATTCTCGGAAACTTTCCTTGAATCATTCCCATCCAGCTTGAACATCGAACGATAAACATCGGTATAGTTGAATTTCTTCGAAGAAGTTTTAGTTAATGGACAAATTGTGACCGCTGTGAACGGAATATCGCCGATTAACGTCGGTTTATTGTCGAAGGTAATAATGATTGGACTATCACGCCATTTTAACCACACGGCGAAGATGGAATTGAAGCAAAAAGACAACGACAGCACAAATGCTATGATCCACCATGCCCTTTATTACAGAGGAGTATTTAGAAAAAATTTAAAATAAAAAGCGAAAGAAAGTGAAAGTAAAACAGAAATCGCAGTAGATCTTTTCCTTTAAATTCCCATTCTTCATTGAAGAAGAAAAATGAGAAAAAAAAGCGAGAAGAAAATCTTCGTTTCTCTTCTAAAAATGACTCTAAATTGGGAAGAAATTGATTAATAATCAATAGATTCACCTTTCAATCCAATGTCGTCTCCGATCGGTGAAATATGAAATGCCATGAATTGATGAGTGTGCACAAAATTCAGAAATAACGCCAGAAAACTCCAAAGAAAATGAGATAATTGATAAATTTCAAAATTAGGAATGATTCTAGGTGAAATCAAAAATATTTAAAGCTCAAATTGATGCAATTGAACATACTCGTGTCTTCGGTTTTTCGTGTTGCCCATATGATTTCGGGACTACCATTGCATTGTTTGCTATGAAAAAATCACGATTCTCCCTGTAGAAAAACGGTACACGAAACATGGTAACAAGTTAGCCACAAGATTTAGGGTAAATTAGCTCCTGACAAGGAATATTCTTCACAGACTGATCAATGTAAAATAACTTTATTGCG